ATGGATGGATGGATGGAGGGATACATAGACTGATAGATACATGTGTATGGATGGAGGGATAAATAGACTGATAGATACATGGTTGGATGGATGGATAGATACATGGATGGATGGAGGGATAAATAGACTGATAGATACATGGATGGATGGATGGATAGATACATGGATGGATGGAGGGATAAATAGACTGATAGATACATGGATGGATGGATGGATGGAGGGATAAATAGACTGATAGAGACATGGATGGATGGAAGGATAAATAGACTGATAGATACATGGATGGATGGATGGATAGATACATGGATGGATGGAGGGATAAATAGACTGATAGATACATGGATGGATGGATGGATGGATAGATACATGGATGGATGGAGGGATAAATAGACTGATAGATACATGGATGGATGGATGGATAGATACATGGATGGATGGAGGGATAAATAGACTGATAGATACATGGATGGATGGATGGATGGATAGATACATGGATGGATGGAGGGATAAATAGACTGATAGATACATGGATGGATGGATGGATAGATACATGGATGGATGGAGGGATAAATAGACTGATAGAGACATGGATGGATGGAGGGATAAATAGACTGATAGAGACATGGATGGATGGATGGATGGAGGGATAAATAGACTGATAGAGACATGGATGGATGGAGGGATAAATAGACTGATAGAGACATGGATGGATGGAGGGATAAATAGACTGATAGAGACATGGATGGATGGAGGGATAAATAGACTGATAGAGACATGGATGGATGGAGGGATAAATAGACTGATAGATACATGGACGGATGGATAACAGAGTAGAAAACCCACAATATATACACAGGAAATAGAATATAAAATGAACATAACAAACTAAATAAACATACCAAAGAGCAAAGATTTAAAGCAGAGGATCCGTGTTACAACGAGGCGCGTTTCAGGAAGTGGGCGGTACCGTTTGAACGATCCACGAAAAGATGTGACGGTTCAGTGTTGAGCTTCAGAGTCCTGAGATCCGGTACCTCTTCATCATCATCTTCCTCCTCAGCTGTCACGTTCCTCTCCTCTGAAGGATCCTCTGAAGAAACGAGAGGAGTCACTACTGGACTCACAGCTTTCACATTTAAGACTCACTATGATTTTACGTCAGTAAATATGAACTAGTTTGAAATCCAAATTCTGTCTTTTGTTTCTGCGGCGTTTATTCCACACGGAGCCCAACCCCCTCCCGTAGTCAGCTGTCGAAATTAAATTAAATTAAAACAAATTGCAGCACTTAAATTGTACTTATAATGGCTCTTTTCTAAAGTTGTAGATCGACTTATTTGATGAAATTGCACTTTGTTGTTTCTTGATGTTTTGTGTCTGTTTCCTTATGGTTGAAGCTTATTCTCAGTCGCTGTGGATAAAACGTGATGTAATGTGATATTACCTCATCGATCCCAGAGAGGGAGACGATCGTTCAAGAAGACTCCCCATACTGGCGAGGAAAGTTGATATCTCATGTATTAATTTCTCAGATAACGCCCCCCCCGTCCCCCCCCGTCCCCCCCGGGAAGAAAATGCTGATGGCGACACCTGTGGAGGAATCTGATTTAGGAATCTTTTACTCCTCTTACAATCCAAAAGGTAAAACCGAAGCCATTACATAGATATTGATCAGGATCCCAAGCTGTCACTCAGAGCCGGAGGGGGGGGGGGGGTTTCCTTCACGCCCCCCCAGCGGCCTTTTGTGCTCATCTGATCCTCAGATAGCCGTTGTGCTAATGGAACTAGATTATCCCGCGATTTCGCTACAATGGATGGATGTAATAATTTGGATGTTATCACATCCTTCTTCGCCGCCTGGCTCCGCCCACTTTACGCGGCGGGTAACTACCACTTCAAGGAGGCGCTGAGAGAAAATGCTCCCGGAGCGCGATGACGCCATGTGATCACATCGTGTCCCACCGGTTGGTTGAGTTATTTCAAAGTGACCTGACGCAAAGTTGATTATGTCATTTTTTAAAGCCCAAACATCTTCTTACTCGCGAGTTATTTTTGTTCGTGTTTTTGTCATAAGATATTTCTCATATGAGGTGGGCGGGGCCCAGCTCATTTACTGGCCGCCGTGAGACGCCTCCTCACCCGCCTCTGAGCGCCGGGACTTCTCCACGAGGAACTCCCGAATCCTCTCCACCCTCAGGGGGGTTTCCTCTCACCCACATGCCCTTGAAGACAAGAAAGCGAAGGGGTGGTATTTGATTCCTAGACATTCTGGACCCCCCCCCCCCCCTCCCCCCACGCGCATCATCAGGTCACAAAGAACTCACGCGTAGAGGTCCTCCAGGCCGCTCGCCAACGCCGTCCTCTCGAGGCCTCGCAGCCACGCAGCACTACAGAAGGAGAGCAAACAGGTGGGGGGGTCGAGTGGGAGGGCGAGAGGCCCCCGAGGGGAAAGTCCCTTTGATTCAGCACATCTGTGCGCAGATTAAATTTGAAAGGCAAATAGACTCACTTGATCTGGTAGATGGGCGGAGCGGCACTCGGATAATCAGGTGGGAGCATTATCTGATCAAAAGGGGAGATTGAGATTGAAGAAAGAAACGTTTGACTAATACATTTATAATGATACATTTATAATGATATATGTCATTATATGTATGTCATTGTTTCTCCATCTACCTGTAAACACACAGTCACTTTTGGCTCCTCCAGGTCGTCGGATATTCTGATGCAGAATATCCTGGAGGCCTCGTCGATGACGCACCACTCGTCTCCGTAGATGGAGGACAGAGCCTCCACCTCCTCGATCTGGACCAGGGGACAAAGACCCATCAGCACGAAGACATCCGAGAAGACCATTTTTGCAGAGATGAAAATATCCAACTTGTGAAATGTTTCATTTAAAGCCGACACATCAGAACAGATCCCAGTATTCCTTTAGTCCTGATCCTCTATGGACCTCCATCAGTCAGCGAGACCAGTCAAGATGTTTCTAGAGAATCCGGACATTGGACCTCTAGAATAGCATCTCCTCCTCCAGGAGCAGAGCTTCTCCTACCCGCATCATTTCTTTATTGAAATTAAAAACACTCCGTGTTTTTCAAATAACACACCAGTACACACGGGTTCGTGTGCATGTAACCGTGTTGTTTTCTCGCGCCTTCATTCTTCACTGTGCTGATTTGTGACCCGTGAAGAACCTGCTGAGCTCCAGACATCACGTGCACATTACGTTAATGACGTCACACACCAGGGGACCTGCGTTGTGTGCGCGTGTCTTGTTATTTCTGATGCGTAACTGGACTGGATTCATTCCCGGTACCGGTACCGTGGGACACTGTGAGATCTCGTTTCCGCACCGCGTGCTGCTGGAGCTCCTGCTCACCTGGCCCACAGGTATCGGTGCTGGCCGCACTAACACTAACGCAGACTTCCGGCAGCGAGGCCGTCTTACTTGATCCTGGAGGTCCGCTGCGTCCCCCGGATGTGTGACGTCAGCCATGTGTTCAGCTACTGGAAACCAGGAAGCAAGTGAGCGAATACGCCGTTAACGTGAAATCTAAGGCACGTAAAGTACATGTTGACATCCAGCCCGCGTGCGTGACGTCAGCGAGTGTCAAGAGCTTCCGGGGCGAAGAGTTCCCCTCGACAAAATAAATAAAGGCGAAGCAAAGACGGAAGCGTCTCGAGTCACGTCTTTGCTTTATAGATTCATAACATTTAAATATTCATAATGTGTAGAAGGACGCGTGACTTGCGCGTGGCGGGGGGCTTTTCTCTGCGTTAGAAATAAGGGGTAGCGCTTTTATTCTGAAAGGCGCAGCAAGGTTTCCGCCCTGCGCCGATCAGCTGATCGGTGTAAACAGAGGAGCCGAGATGTGTGCGCGTGTACGTGTGCGCGCGCGTGTGTGCTGTATTTGATACTTCGATCGCTTTGAAGACGGTAACCGGCGGCCCGGTGGGGACCACGTGACGTTTACCGCGCTGCGGTAGGGCGGCCGGAAGTGGCTCCGAGGGTCTCAAAGGGTCACATGCGACCCCACGGGGGGGCCCGGCCCCGAGAGAGCCCCGACCACCGCGGATCTGCTCCCCTTGGGACCGGAACAGTGGAAGCAGTGAGTGATCTGTTTAATATTTACCTATATACTTATTTAGCATTTATATACACACATATCTGTGTGTATATATATACATATATACAAAGCAATACCTATTTTGAATTTCAGGACAAAAAACAGTAAAACAAAATATTGTGAGTGAGAGACACAAACAAGCTCCGATCAATCAATCAAACTGGAGCTCAGGACCAGCTGATGGATCAATAATCACTCACTGTGTACGTGACTGTGATATTAAATGATGTAATAAATTGTACACCAGCGAGTTGATAAAACAAATCTTAAAAATGAAATGAAACATTCCGATAATGTACCACTAATGTACTAATATACTACTATTTGATGTATGTAGTATGGACATAGAACTGAACTGCATAGATCTGATATCTGATCCATATCGATATCTTTTACCCACTTAATCATCACATGATGAGGTGATTGGGGGTAATACAGTTATATGCATAATCCTGCTTTTGTTCCACTTTTATTTGGCGTAATTCCAGATGTCCTCCATGTCTCCTGCGTGTGTTACTGTAATTTCACATTCATTTCACATCTGGAGCCACTTCACAATCATCTACATCTCAAAGCCTGCAAGGGGGGGCGGCGATTTGTATTCAGATTTCTTTAAAGTTCATGTTCACCAGACTCTTCATTTATATTTATGGACCTTCCAGGATGAAGGAAATGCAACATTACAAGTAAAAGTCCTGCATTCAACTTCTTCCTTCCCGACAGACGGCTTCCCCTTCCACTTTAAGAAAGAAAACATCAGAACATCAGAATGTCCATTTCAGCCCTTCGCACTGGACCCTAGATTTCCCACAATGCAGCAGGACCGGCTCTTTAATGCACCCCCTCCCTGCCTGGTGAACACGCATCTCTCTCACACCTCCAGTTCGAATGAAAGGGACACGTGAGGGAAAGCAAGGAGTCACAAGACGCGGGTTTTGAAAAGCAACCGTCAGAATGATGACAAGAGGCTTCAGTCACCGGACCAGCTGTACAGGAAGTCACCCCCCCCCCCCCCCCCCCTCGCAGGGCACATGGACCTGGTATGTATGCCGGGGGGGGGGAGGGAACCAAACCGGGGAATTAAGAAACGCGGTGTCCTGAGAAGAAAAAACCAGAAGGGAGGGGAGGGGTCCCCCCGGGAAAAAGGTTACCTGTGGATCCCCCCCCCTCCCACCCGGGCCCAAGACACCGCCACATTTTCATCTCCATCTATGTGGAGAACTCCCCTGGTCTTTGGGCCAAATTTTCAATGTGTTTTATTTAATTTGACCGGTAGAATGATGGGGAAAAAAAGAAAATTGTGACTCAAACATTTAAGGACTCAGAAACACATGGTTGTGAGAGACATCTAATTAAAAGAGAATAGGCTGTCATTAGACACTCACCTGCAGTTTCGAGTCGTAGGTGGAACCCCAACGGAGAGTGACTCGACGTCGTTATTCTTTCGTACTTGGGGGGAGTGACTGACACTGAGGGATCTGTGGGAACGTCTGTCACACTAAACTTTTCCTTGAGCCCGCAATTCCGAATTGTCGGGGGAATTTCTC